GGTTGAGGGTTATTCCTCTAGAGTTCACAGTTACAGAGTGGTACGCTCGGGCCGAATATGGTATCGGGTACCGACCACGTCCCTTCAGGTTTGAGGCGTGACAGTAAGTCTATTTTCTAACCTTGTAAGAGGGAATTAACCCCATAAGTGAATTGATTATTATGTGCTCCTAACTGTGGGGGCTACGTACGCACGAGGTGACGAGAGTCCGTACGTAGCTACATTGTCCGGGTAGTCTAGGACCCATACCATGCTATATTTACGATGTTTGCACCCTAGTTGTTAACTTAATTGCTTGAATCATGTTGGAACTTGATAGAGAAAATGGTAGAAGGCTAAATTTCACTTACTTCAATTCTTGAACGGGCCACTTGGCTGTTAGGGAGGATTGGTGTTTCTTTAAATAATTGCCTCTTAATAAATCTTGAGTTGATTGTTATAAAGTATTTTCTCTTTTCGTGGAGCGGGTCGAGCGCCTCGGTAGCAGGTAGATGCATCTATAGTTCGTGCCATTCGACTCTCGGCAGTGCACAATTTAAATATTTTTATGTTGGATCGGGTCGTACGACCTCAGCATGAATTGCGCGTAATAAATCTTTGGAACCAATTATAATTGATATTGTTTCATCGATTTGAGATATAAATTGTTAAATAATGGAAATAAAGTTGGGATGTACTATTAGCGAAAGGACTGTTTATTATTCCTGTTGTTGAGTTTTCAGCTATATTTCTGTAATCCATGCTTAGTTATTATTTTGACATTTTATTGTTAGCCCATAGTAAGTGTCAAAGTCGACCCCTCGTCACAACTTCTTCGAGGTTAGACTGGATACTTACTGGATACATGTTATTTATCTACTCACGCTATACTTTTGTACTAATGTGCAGGATCTGAGGAAGGTGCATCTGGATATCAGTCTGGCGCGCATACTTGACTACTACTACGAGACTACACAGTGAGCTGTCTTTCGAGCCCGTTCTGTAGCCGCCGAAGTCTTTCTTTTGCTTGTATTTTCGGTCTACTTCATTTCAGACAGTAGCGTGGAACTCTTTTGTATATTCTATTAGTTGCTCATACACTTGTGATACAGGTTTTTGTGGTTTAAGCTAGTAGGCACGTGATGAATTTTGGATTATCTTATTTATCTCATTGCTTTAAAAAAATCTTGATTTCTCATTTTATTGAAAAGCTTACTTCTTAATTAGGCACAAACTACAATAATCAACTATTTTAAAATCGTTAAAATAAAGATTACGGAGTTTCTTTAAGGTTGGCTTGCCTAGCGGTAACGTTGAGCTCCATCACAGCCTATAGAAAAAATTGGATCGTGACAATATTGGAGCTAGTACTGCTAATAAAAATATTATGTCCATTAAATAAGAAAATAGAAAGAAATATTCAATAAGAATAATTTCGCCTATTTAATTAAAAATAGGAACTAGAGTAATTTTCAACTTTAAAATTTATTTAGAACTGAAATGAAAGTGTAGCCACCACTGTGGTCTACGAAGACGGTTAAAAACTGAAACAAACTTTACAAGAGGAATGATTTCGAATCTCCTAAGTTACTTCTGCAGAGATTGACAATGTCCATTTTATAGCCACGAGGCAACTTGATGGTAACTGTTTTGCTTTGTTGGAAATGGATTTTGGTTGAAAACGGTTTTTAGCCTTTTGGTTTTAATTTTGTGCAGAATATCTTCCACTTTCTTTTCTTGACACTTTCTACTTCTTGCTTTTTACTTTGATGTATTTCTTCCTTGGAATCTTCATTGACCTTGCACCACTACTTTTGCATTCTTTCCTACATTATTTGGTTTAATATACGGAAAAGATTTAATAATTTTTATGCTTTTATAAGGATAATCATATATTTAAAATCTAGCAAAATGCACTTATCACCTAAAAAAGACTGCAAAAAAGGAAACAGGGCTTGCACGTGACTTTTTTTGGGGGGCTCAAAACTTGATACTATTAAGGTAAAATAATTATTTCAAATGTCTTTTAGGAAGTTATGTATTACTATGCACTTTGAGAGAAAAAATATGTAAAATACTATCTTCAGTAACAGTGGCAAATCAACCAGGAAGGGGGGTGGAGAGTAGAACCCAATCAAATATAGGGATTGTTTTGTTCTTGATGATTATTTGATAATTAATTATTAAAAAAATCATTATTAACATAACACCTAAAAGAACACTTTTACAGAAGGGAATGAGCCTTCATGGTCATATACAATGTTGAAATTTAAAAAGTATTATTTTTAGATCTCTTATGTGTAAAAGTAAATCTCACATAAATAAAAGAAAAAAAGATAAGATTATAAAACTAAAAATAAGTTTGTAACGAGAAACTAATATAATCAGATAAACAGATTAAAATGAGCTTATTGGATAATACTAGGCTTTGCCGCCGCCTGTGTTCATGTAGCGTCCAGTTTTGCGCTACTGATTGAATTTGTACCCACTTTTAAAAAAAGTTTAACTGATACCTAATTTTTTAGTAACTTCGGATACATACATTTTTCTCTTCTTCTTCACTGTTGCTTTCTTCTTTTTTATGTTTAGGGTTTCTTCTTCTACTTAGTTGTAAAATGAGTTCGTTAAATTTATTAATGTTTTAACAATTTGATGATTGTGATTTTGTTCTTTATGATGTTTGAAAGTTATGTTCAAATTTGAACTCATTTGGAATAGATTTGGGTGTTGGATTGATTAAATTCGAAGAATAAGTTTATATATCAAAACTTAAGTTGTATTGAAAAATTAAACTACCTAAGATTTTAGATTTTGAATAAGAAGTCGTCTAAGTTGTGCTGAAAAATTAAATAACTTAAGATTCGAAATTCTGTAATTATAATTAAAAAATAGAAGAACTTCATATTTGACTTCTTAAGTTATATGGAAGAATATAAGTGGGTACGCTTTGTAAAGTTTTGTTTAATACGGTAATAAATTGAACGATGGCATGGGGCATATATGCAAATGCGCCGAGAAACGGACGGGCTTCACTTATTTTCTTGGTTTTCCAACGTCAGGCCCAACTGCCCAAAGCTATATCATCAAACCTATAAATTACCTTTCCATTTGATCTTACCACTTCTCTAGAACAGTAAACTCCATTCAGCCATGGATTCTGTACCGGTGAATTGGGAGGCACTTGACTCTCTAATTATCGATTTCGTCAAATCCGAAAACCTAATCGAAGACTCCCTTTCTCCTCCTGCTTCTCCTTCGTCATCGTCATCGTCATCTTCGTCTTCGTCTTATCAGTCACGATTACTTATTCGGCAGATCAGACGGTCAGTGGAGTGTGGTGACATTGATGCCGCTATCGATCTCTTGCGTGTTCACGCGCGTTTTCTTCTCGATGATCATCGTCTTCTCTTCTGCCTACAGAAGCAGGTTAGGATTTATTTAGCTCTCTGTTTGTTTCTCAGGCTTAAATTTTGAAGTACAGTGAATTAGTTCTCTGCTTAACTTATTAGTGCTACAGTTCTCGACCTCATCAATTCGATTTAGTTTGCGTGGAATCAAAATTGATTGACACAACTTCTGTAGCATCACTCAATATATATATATGGCTGGCAAAGAGATGTATCAATTGTTTAAGCTGTATTATGGATGATTATAGTAGTGAATATACAAGATATAAACTTTAGCATGATAAATTAGTCATGATTCTGAATTAGAAAATTAAAACTGAATTTTGCATCTGAGTCAAAGATCAAAATGGTTGTTGAACTCTGATGAAAATATTTTAGCTTCATATTTAACCTCAAAGTCGTCTTCATATTTTTTCTGCAGAGGTTTATTGAACTTTTGAGGAAACGAACTGCAGAGGACCGAGAATCTGCCATTAATTGCCTCCGAGAGTCACTGGCACCTTGTGCGTTGGATGCATATCCAGTAGGTCCCCTGCATATTCATTTTAGTTCCATTATCAGCATTGACACTCGTGAATACCTCTTGGATCCGTCAACATCACGATTTTCTTTCTTGTAATAAAAACATTGTTTATGTTAGTCAATTGGATAATAAGTTATGTGAATGCAACACCTAGAGAAATATTTGATTTGACAAGCTCATTCCTGGTGTTTCTTTCCGTAGATAAAAATTATGCTAGATGATAGTGGCTTGCATGCTATCCTCAGGTTCATCGCTTGAAAAGGTTCTCTGTGTTTATACTGTGGTTCTAATGAATGTTCAACTTTTTTATCTTAAGGAAGCATATGAGGAATTTAAGCATATTCTTCTCGCCTTGGTTTACGATGAAGATGATAAGAATTCTCCAGTGGCGAATGAGGTAAGAGGTTATTTTGTTGGCCTGAGATTTAGACTTCCATATATGTTCATCTGGCAGCAATTAGATGTCCTACTGATTTATTGAGATTTATTGTGGGTTAAAAAAGATGAATGTCTCATTTTAGTAGAAGTCACTCATCACTGACGGTTTTGCGCTTCACTATCCCAGTGGTCCCCAAAGAGGAGGATTGACATTACTGGACTGCTTTCATCTGTTTTAAGGGCTCATTTATGTGCATATGATCCTCTTTTTGCAATGTCATTGAGGTACTTGATAAGGTTTGTACAATTTTCAGATGATCTATAACGTGCTTAGATGCACATTCCAAATCCAATGAATTGGAGACATTTTGTAATTTGTTCATCAGAGATCCAAATCCTCTTTCTATTCTTATTTTACTTCACAATCATTTTGCAGCATACACAAGTTATTTTGCTTTCGCCAGGGAGTCCCATCACCTATATCCGATCTCACGCAGAGATTACTTCTTGAGGATCGTGACCCTCCTGCAACACCTCTTGAGAGTTTCTATGAAGCACCTCCATTTGACGAGGTTATAAATCTTAGATACTCTATTACTATTCTGCTATGTTGCACGGACTCTCCAAAATGTAGCCGCACCCGTGTCGGATCCTTCAAAAATGCATTACTTTTGGAGGATCCGACACGTATCCGGCCATATTTTCGGAGAGTCCGAGCAACATAGCTATTCTGATAATTGTTTTGGTTATTGAACTTGAAGAGGAATGTGGTTTGTAAGTAGTATAATTTATGTAGTAATTCTTTTGGTTTTTTTTTTGTTTTTGTCAAAGCTCTTAGAGAATGTAGAAAATCTCTAGTCCCGTAGGTTGTCTTAAAAGACAAATTAGTGGTTATTGGAGTAAGATGTGTCCAATTGGAGTGGAGTGGATAGTAAAAGATCCACATTGCAGATGGCAACTAGTTTCGGGTTGAGGCGTAATCATTGCTGTAATTTTTTTGATTACTTTGAAGTAGAATTTGTCAATTTGGTACTTAATGTAATTTGCATCATATGTTAAATTTTAATTAGGTGGACATACAAGCTCTTGCTCATGCGGTAGAGCTTACAAGGCAGGGGGCTATTGATAGCTTGAGATTTGCCAAGGGTGACTTATATCAAGCATTTCAGGTTAGTATGCTGAATTATTTGCAATTTAATAATTGTTTGCTATAGTATAGATTATTACAAAGAACTTTAAACTGTGTTAGTTTTGAGTAGAAGTCTAGTGATGCCCTCGTCAGCACCACCTTTGGCATTCATTTATTCCAAATCGTATGGCTTGTAATGAGTGGTAAGCTGAGAACATAGTTGATGGTATTTATGACCCTTAAGGGTATTTCGTTTCTTGAAATGAAGCTGTTATTAGATTATCTGCTCACCATGTCAGACATACATGTCTGAAGGTCTGTGTGATCATCTCATCATCTACTTATGGATGTCAATGCTCTAAACTTTGGTTTCGTGCACAATTATCATTATGGAATTCACTTAGTCTTTGCTGCTTCTTCAGCTTCCAATGGCCTGGATGATCTCTCACACATTGTTGCATAAAGCTACAACCCATACTTATGGGCCTTAAGATTCTTTTTGCTTCGACAACAGTTCATTTGTTTTTCACTAAATGGAAAGTCACTATATTATTCTTTCCTTGTAGCTTCCAGTGGCTTTTCTCAATAAAAAAAAGGAACCGGGGATAGGACTAGGAACAATTTCACCACCCTTTTTCTTTCTTATTGAGTTGTTTTTCTATTTTTTGGTAGTGTTCCAGGTATTCTGTGATCTGCTGATGAGGTAGACCGAGCTTGTTAATCATACATCTTTGAGGTCAAATAATACTTATTGATGAGATTGTGCCTGTACTTTTCTGTTGCAGAATGAGTTATGCCGGATAAGGTTGGATGACCCTATGTTTGATGAGCTTGTTCATGAGTATTGTGTCTATCGGGGTTTCATCGAGTTCAGTGTGGTAGATTCTCCTGGTAAGTTTCTGATCAACTTTACTTTCCATTCTTACATTCAGTTTGCTAATATGTACCTCAGAACTGGCTTTCGTAACATTTTCCATTACCAGGGATGCAACTTGATTCTGGAAGTATCAACAATGATCAATCAGAGTGTGAACATTTATCAAAGAACTGTTCAACAGAAGTTGGGTATGGAGACACTAAACTTTCTGGCAGTGGTACCTCTGCTACTCAAGTTATCATGGAGGGATCACCTGAAAGTAATACCAACTTGGTTAGCATTCAAAGTACTGATACTGAAGAGCGTTATCCTAGCGAGACAAGTCATGGGGATTGCAGTACCAGTTGGAATCCTCAGTTCGAAAAAGTTCTGCAGAAAAATAAATGTCTTAGAGTTGGCGAAACAAACAAACGGAAAAGATGGAGGGGGAGACATGAAAAAGAAGAATTTGTGTCTGGACCTAACAATGAAAGGAGCAGAGAAGAACTTAATTCTAGCAGCAGCAGCTCAGTTGCCAGCACGATTGTGTTGAAAGATCAGCAGGCATGTATTTTGGTTGTAATGGTTCAAAGTAAAACTTAACATCCAAATAAGTTAAAGAAAAAAAGAAGGCCGGAGAACAGTGTTCAAAGTAAACATTGTTAACACCTTTCATTACAGGTTTCTCCAAAATCATGCTTCCCGAATATGATGAAGAATAGAGAGGACAAGTATGAGCTTGTGCTGGGCTTGCAGGAATTAGCCAGCAGAGGAATGGCAGTGGAGGTAGTTGAGGAGATTAATGAGATGGACCCGAACTTTTTCGTGCAGAACCCTGCTCTACTTTTTCAGCTTAAGCAGGTATGGAAGTTAAACTCTTGCTTGGGACAAAGATTACTAAATGTTAACACACAGTGTTGTATTGATTAGAGCATTCTAATAATCCCTTTGTCAGGTTGAATTTTTGAAGCTGGTTGGCTCCGGGAATCATACTCAGGCACTGAGGGTAGCCTGTTCGTTTCTGGGTCCTTTGGCTTCTAGTCATCCTGATCTGTTGAAGCCTTTGAAGGAGACTTTGCTAGCTTTGCTCAAACCTAATGAAGAGGCATTCAATGAGCGCTTGCCCTTATGTGCTCTTGCCAATTCACTCCAGGTATTACATTCTGCACTTTTTGTGGTAAAAACAGGTTCCGAGTGAACCCTTTGCCTGCTTATCTTTTTTCCAATCCTTACATCTCTTTATCTCCTCTGTGTATGTAATACGGGGTGCTGCTTCTTGATGCGAGAATGTACCGTGCCTAAAAGTATCTTGCCTCTAGTTCGATGACCTTGTTTTTCTGCATTGAGGCTAAGAAAAGGTAGTTTAAGTAACAGCTTGAATGTTAGAGACATACAACGTCCCATATCAGGTGTGTGTGTTGGGGGGGG